GACAACATTCCTAGAGTGTACATGTTAGAACATGGGGAGGGATGTCTGTCCAGCAAGCAGGTAAACTTCCTGGGGACGGACTTCCTCCGCATGTGACCAGAGGTGGGTGTGGCCTCACCTGTGCAGGTAATGACAAAAGCACAGGGCAGGCAGCCATCTCTCTCTCTCTGCCATTTTCCTTCGATGAGGAAGCATCTAAAGATGCTCTCTTGGCTCTCAGCCAAGAGAGGAGGAAAGGACTATCTTGCTATAAGATAGATTCTGAATGTATATAACCTTTTTAAGCCTGTCTGCCTTCTGGGATCATATTGTGAACAGAACGTGAGTAAACTCTTTTATACTTTCATAAAGACTGTGTTGTGTCTTGTATTTTAAGAGGGAACAAAGGGAAATTACCAGGGTAATTATTATAGAGGTTCTAGCGAACCTGTGCACACGTTACCGTTGCGAACTTAAAGGGAATGTTTATAAACTCGGCTGATATTTTGGGAACTTGTTAGCACAAGTTGGATAAGGATATAATTAGTCAATATATCCTCTCCTGCACCCCAGAACATTCCCACAAAGGGTTATGGGCCCAGTATTGCATATTTCTGCGTATTTTTGAAGGATTGCATTGGATTGTGATTTTGAGTTGAGTAGTATTTTTCTGAGTTAACTTCCTGGTAAGCACATGGTCCTTTGTTCCATTGTGCAGTGGGGATTAAGCAACCCCCCCCCTTCCCTCAGAGTTCACAGTGACCCAAGGCAGTGAAGAATTGTTTTGTATTTTGAGATTTTTTGAGATTTTAATTTTAAAAAAAAATAAAAAAATTTTGAGAAATTTTGAAATTTTTGAAGAATTTTCAAATTTTGGTTTTGAATTTTGAATTTTGGATTTTAAGATGGCTAGAGCAGCTTTTGATAGTGATGCAAAGCTAGGAATGCCTGTGCTGAATGAATACAATTTCATACACTGGAAGCAGCGCTTGATAGCATGTTTAGATTATAAGCACATTTTGGAAGCTTTAAAGCCTCAGCCTACAGGGACAACTGAGGGAGATTTAGCCAAGATAAGTGCTTGGAAACGCATGAACAGTGAAGCTAGACACATAATTTTGAGTGGACTTCGTGATGAACAGCTATCATTAATAAATAGTACAGATGATGCATCTCAAATCTTAAGAGATATTGAGCGTGTGTATGGAGAATCTAGCATAAACTCCTTCAGAAACTTGGTGTGTAAATTAACCAGATTGAGGATGAATTCAAAAGAGGAATTCACAGAGCACATCAACAAGTTTACTGAGATTATTCAAAGAATTGATCTGACTCCCAAAGCTTTTGATGAAGATACAAAGATAGCATTTTTGTTATCATCACTTGGACCACGCTTTGGCGCATTTGTAAGTTTGATGGCTCATAGACAAGGTCTGACTTTTAAAGACTTGATTGGTTATTTAAAAGAAGAATGCAGAGATAGAGCTGAATCTCCAGTGAGAAATGCTAAAATCAAGGACAGCAGTTATGCATCTAGGCAATTTACAAAGTCCAAAGAGATGCCTAAGAAAGTGATTTGTTTCAATTGTAACAAAGAAGGACACATTGCAAAGAATTGCAGGGCTCCTAAAGCAAAGAAACCCCACCCCTCTCAACCAAAAGGGGAAAAGAAGGGGAAATGTGAATGCACATGGCTACTGCAAGAAAGGAATTTAACTGTCCAGAATCGTGTAAATAAACGTAATAAATGGATTTTAGATTCAGGAGCATCCTCCCATTTTTGTCATAAAAGGGACTATTTTAATGAAATAAATGATGAAGAAGGATCTGAAATTGAGATTGCAGATGGCAACATTGTTAAAGCAAAAGGTGCAGGTTCCATGAGTCTGAAATGCAATATAAACAATGAATGCATTGAGAACACAATCTCTAGAGTTTTGTATGTTCCAGAGCTGAGCTGCAATTTAATCAGCGTGTCCACTTTGGACAAGAAAGGTTTCCAGATCACATTTGGAAATGGAGAATGTAAAGTGACTAGAAATGGCAAAGTGTTTGCTCAAGCAAAGCTAATAAATGGTGTATATGAGCTTGATCTTTCAGAGAACCAGTCTGCAAAAGTGGCACATTCCAGCCAGAAGGATGAGGCAGATCTGGACCTGTGGCACAGAAGGCTTGGACACAGGGACACCAACGTCATTCTGGATCTACAGAAAAGAGATCTTGTAAGAGGTTTGCAGGTAAAGCAGAGCAACAAAGCTCCAGCAAAGTGCATAAGCTGTATTACTGAGAAGGCTGTAAAACCTTCATTTCCACGTTGTGCAGAACAAAGAAGCAACAAAGTGCTTGACATAGTGCACACTGACATATGTGGACCCATGAATGTTCCCTCACTGGGAAAGAATAGATACATTTTAATATTTCTGGATGACTTTTCAAGATTTTGTGTTGTATATTTCCTCAAAGAGAAGAGTGAGACAGTGGAGAAGCTCCAGGAATACATTGCCATGGTCAAGAATAAATTCCAGAGAGCTCCAGCTGTGTTAATGAGCGACAATGGAGGTGAGTACTGCTCAAATGAAATGCAGGCTCTCCTGGCCAAGGAAGGAATTGCACACGTAACCACAATTCCTTACACACCACAGCAGAATGCCATAGCTGAAAGAAAGTTTAGGTCCATTATGGACATGACAAGGTGCATGCTAAAGGATGCATGTTTGCCACAGAAGCTGTGGGCCGAAGGAGTATACACGTCGGTCTATTTGCAGAATAGACTGCCAACTAAAGGAGCAGAGCGCACACCATTTGAACTTTGGCATGGGAAAGCTCCCAATCTGTCGCACATACGTGTGTTTGGAAGTCCGTGTTACTTCCACGTGCCCAAGGAACACAGACACAAGCTTGACTCCAGGGCAAAAGCAGGTATCCTTGTGGGATATGCTTCTGGAGGCAAAGGATACAGAATTATGGACTTACAAACTGGTAAGACAAATGCATACCATGCGGTTTATGTTGATGAATATGGAAAAGTAGACACTAAGAACACTGTTGTGGATTCTTCAGATGAGTCAGAAAGGACTCAAGAGTTTGTATATTTCCCTTTTGAGACCCCACAAAGTAATTATCTGCCTTCGAGTGTTACAGCGCCCCCTACAGGCGATGCACCAGAAGACGCAGAGGACCAGAACCCTGGCGGCACCAGAGACGAAGATGAGGACTCATATGGGGACATGCCTGCGTTGGAGGAGGATGAGGAAGCTGATGCGGTTGCACAACCAGAGGTCAGGATCTCATCCAGAACCAACAAAGGTGTCCCACCATTACGGTTGTCCTACTTTGCAGGGTCGGCGTTTCCACAGGAACCTTCCACTTGGGAAGAGATACAGGAGATGCCAGCTGCAGAAGCCAGTCTCTGGAGGAAGGCCGCACAGGAGGAGATGGATGCACTGCATCAGAACAAGACCTGGACACTCACTGAGCTGCCTCCCGGTAAGAAGGCCATTGGCAGTAAATGGGTTTTCAAGGTTAAGAAGGGGTCAGAAGGAGAAGTGCAGCGCTACAAAGCTAGACTTGTAGCACAGGGATTTTCACAGCGTTTTGGTGAAGACTATGATGAAGTTTTTGCACCAACTGTGAGGTACAGCAGCGTAAGAATGCTTTTAAGCATTGCAGCCTCCAAGAAAATGAGAGTAAAACACATAGACATTGCTACCGCTTTTCTACATGGGCAGATTTCTGAGGAAATTTATATGAAACAGCCTAAAGGTTTTGTAAAACCACATGAAGCACATTTAGTGTGCAAACTCCAGAAAGGACTTTATGGACTTAAACAGGCTGCCAGAGCCTGGAACCAGAAGTTGCATAAAATGCTGACGCAACTTGGGTACAAGCAAGGCGACGCTGACAAATGCTTGTACAGTAAGTCAAATAATGGACAATTCTCATATATCTTAGCTTTTGTTGATGACCTGATTATTGCCACAGCAAGTGAGAGAGACTATACACAGATAGTAAAACACCTTAGCAAAGAGGTGGAGGTCAAGGAGCTAGGAGATGTCCAGTACTACCTCGGGATCCAGGTGGAAAGAGAAGAGGACGGCTCATTTCTTCTCAGCCAAAGACAGAAGATCCACGAGCTAGTTGAGCACATGCAGATGCAAGACGCACATCCAGTTGCTACACCGATGGCTACTGACTTCCTGAAGAATCAGCAGGATTCGAAGCAGTTGCCAGACAACAATGACTACAGGTCGGCGATTGGTAAACTTTTGTATTTAGTTACCACATGTAGACCTGACTTAGCTAATGCTGTGGGGATTCTTAGCAGAAAAGTGAATTCTCCCACTGAGCATGATTGGGCAGGTGTAAAGAGGGTGGTGCGATATTTGAAGGGTACCATGAATTGTAAATTAAGGTTACCAGCCGTCAGAGACCCTAAGTTGGTTGGGTATACTGATGCGGATTGGGCTGGGGATAATGCTGATTATAAATCAACAAGTGGTCATGTTTTCATGTTTGGGGATGGACCTGTTGCATGGGGCAGTTATAAACAGAGCTGTGTAGCATTATCTTCCACAGAATCAGAATACGTTGCAGCAACAGAAGCCTGCAGAGAGATCGCCTGGCTTGATCAACTCATAAAGGACTTTGGGTTGGTGAGAAAAGGGCCTGTCAGCTTGCTAGAGGACAATCAAAGTTGCCTGAAGCTGACGCAGAGTGAGAAGTTCCTGGCCAGAACAAAACACATTGGGGTTAAATACCACTACATACGCCAGATGATCCAGGATGGACTTGTGGAGCTATCCTACTGCAGCACCCAAGAGATGACTGCTGACATCCTGACGAAACCCCTACCAAGAGAGAGTTTCCAGAATCTACGTGTCAAGCTGGGACTCTGGGTGGTTGAATAAAGTTGTTTATGTTTTGTATATGTTGTATTGCCTGAGAAGGGGTATGTGGGATGTAAACACAGGAGCAGTCAATGACAACATTCCTAGAGTGTACATGTTAGAACATGGGGAGGGATGTCTGTCCAGCAAGCAGGTAAACTTCCTGGGGACGGACTTCCTCCGCATGTGACCAGAGGTGGGTGTGGCCTCACCTGTGCAGGTAATGACAAAAGCACAGGGCAGGCAGCCATCTCTCTCTCTCTGCCATTTTCCTTCGATGAGGAAGCATCTAAAGATGCTCTCTTGGCTCTCAGCCAAGAGAGGAGGAAAGGACTATCTTGCTATAAGATAGATTCTGGATGTATATAACCTTATAAGCCTGTCTGCCTACTGGGATCATATTGTGAACAGAACGTGAGTAAACTCTTTTATACTTTCATAAAGACTGTGTTGTGTCTTGTATTTTAAGAGGGAACAAGGGGAAATTACCAGGGTAATTATTATAGAGGTTCTAGCGAACCTGTGCACACGTTACCGTTGCGAACTTAAAGGGGAATGTTTATAAACTCTGCTGATATTTTGGGAACTTGTTAGCACAAGTTGGATAAGGATATAATTAGTCAATATATCCTCTCCTGCACCCCAGAACATTCCCACAGAAAGGTGGCAGCATTTGGGACTTTTTGAGAAAAGTCCCTGAACTGCGGGAGGAAGAGCTTTCTTCCATCTGTCCTGAATCTTCCACCGTTCAGCTTTATTGGATCTCCAGAGACCCTGGCATTGTGAGAGACTGTAGGGAGGAAAGCTGTTCTCTGCCCACTTTCTCCAGGCCAGGCATCGCTGGATAAACATCTCTCATGTCCCCTCTTCCTCACCTTTCCTTGAAACTGAAAAAGTCCCAATCTTCCCTACGTTTGTCATAGAGGGAAACCAGATGTCTCAAACAAAAATGTGCTCTTCCAAACCCACCTTCAGAGCAGGGTCTCACTCCTGTCTCAGTGATGCTTGCGCTGGCATGGTCATGTCTGCAGAAGGGAAGATGGCAGGATCCCTGAGGACAGGCTCAGTGGGGAACTCTGCGGGGAACCAGGACTGCTGGCAGACCAAAGATTTCTGCAGATATGACATGAAAGCTGGTGACATCAACCCTGCCATGTGGAAATCCCATGCAGATGACCACAGTGCCTGGAAGTGACAGTCAGGTTGGGGTCCACAGTAGTGACCAGAGGAGGAATGACCGCTGGGAGGAGTGCAGAGAGAAGATATGCCCTGGTGCATCTGCAGCAGCACAACTGGATGCCTTCATCTGCCCCTGCTGCGGCCCCCGCCTCTGCCCCAGAAAGTGCTGGTAATTCTCCAATGGTTTGACTTGGCCCCCAAAGGTGCACTCCTCCATTGTCCCCCAAGACAGGTTTCACTCTAGGGCTGCCCTTGGGGAGCAAAGGTTCCTGTCTGAGAGAGATGTGGGGGTACCTGGAGCAAGCACACCTCTGTGGGATCGCCTTTCCTTGGCCCCAAATACACTTTGCAACATTTGAAGGAGTCTTCTGCCGAGTCAGACCATTGCTGCAAGCAGCTCAGCTCATGACTCTCCAGAGTTTCAGGATAGGAGATTACCATCTGAGATGTAACCTGGGACATTCTTCAGGCAGAACAGATGCTCTGACCCTGAGTTGCGGCCCTTCTCTGCCCCTCTTCAGAAACGCCATAGGACCAAGCAGATTGAGGCTGGCTGAGTTCTAGGCCAGACTCCTGGAATCCCCCAAGGGAGAAATGCAAGGATATTATTAAGCAAGAGAAAAACTTTGATTCGGGGAAAATAGGACATAAAGTCAGCCATAAAAGAAAATGATGTGAAGCCCTTTCTCACCAATTATGCTCCCGGATGAGAAACTGAACTCTACAGCGGGGGGGGGGGATATTTACACTCCAGCCCCCTGGGTGGAGGCTCCACAGGCTGGCTGCCCTCAGGGGATTCTTCCCATAAGCAAGAGCATGGCAGGTCCTTTGGGGCTCTCTTCTGCTAGCAGGGGTCAGAGGAGGCAAAGCTTCAAATGCAACAGACAGAGCCTGTTGTGGGGAGGGAATTGTAGAATTGGAAGGGACCCTGAGTGTCATCTAGTCCAACCCCCTGCAATGCAGGAATCTTTCACTCAATGTGCCCATGACCTGGAGATTCAGAGTCTTGTGCTGTACCAACTGAGTCAGGTTAGTATCCTGGATCATGGCCGCATTCTGTGTGTACACATGTTCATGTTAGAGCAAGTCATCTTGCTGGGCTAGAGGGCTCCTGACCTGCTCCAGCAGAGCCTTTTTGTCTTCTCAGTTTCTGGAAGGAAACTGGGCTTTTGATTAGGAAGCCCCTCTCCTCTCTGGCATCGTGGTCTAGGGGACACAGCAAATTGCCCAGATCCCCACGGACTTCAGGTGCTGGAGGACCCCAAGGGCTGCCTCTGCTTCTGCCTCCAGCTCACGGGCTCCTCCAAAATCTGAAGTTGAGGGAAAGGGAAAGGACCGAATCTGTACGCAGAGCACACTGCGCCTTGTTTGACAAGATCAATTGATTGTAGCAGAAGGCAGGAGCGGGGCCAGTGTAAAACAAGCTCCCATTGATCGCAGGAACAGAGATGGCTTCCTGGAGAATTTCAAGTAGCCTCAGGTCCAGAAGATGGAGCCGGCATCATCTCTAGAATTGGAGGGAGTCCCAAGTCCTGGAAAAGCTCTGCTGGACTTCTTGCACTCTGCAGCCGCCTGGCCAGGCCATGCTCCCAGGTGTGGGTGTGTGCTGGAGGCAGAAGGATGTTTAGCCAGATATGTAGGAAATCTGGCTTGACAGAAGCACGTGTGGAAAAGGATCTCCAGGTCTTCGTGGACCACAAGCTTAATATGAGTCAACAGTGAGGTGCAGCAGCAAAAGAAGCTAACACTATTTTAGGCTGTATCAACAGAAGGGTCCTGATCAAGGGAAGGTATAGTCCCACTCTTCTGCCTTGGTCAGACCACAATTCTGGGCACCACAATTTAAGAAGCATGTTGACAAGCTTTAGCTGAGATTCCTGCATTGCAGGGGGCTGGAGTAGATGACTTTTGGGTCCCTTCCAACTCTAGGTTTCTATGATTCTAAGTTGGAACATGTGCACTCCTCCTCCTCCTTTCTCTTCTTCTTATCATGGAATCATAGAAGGGAGAGTTGGAAGGACTCTGAGGGTCTTCTGGTCTGACCCCCTGAAATTGAAGAGTGTGCACAGAGGAGGGCGACCAAGATGATTAAAGGTCTGGAAACCAAGCCTTATGAGGAACAGTTGAGGGAGTTGGGTCTGTTTAGGCCAGAAAAGAGGAGAGGAGATAGGAGAGCCATCTTCAGATCTCAAGGGCTGCCACATGGAAGAGGGAGCAAACTTGTTTTCTCCTACTCTGGAGGGGAGGACTCAAACCAATGGCTTCAAGTTACAAGAAAGGAGATTCTGACTAAATATCAGGAGCAACTTCCAGGCAGCAAGAGCTGTTCGGCGGTGGAACAGACGTCTTTGGGAGGTGGTGGACCCTCCTTCCTTGGAGGTTTTTAAGCAGAGGTTGGATGGCCATCTGTCCTGGATATTTGAGTGGAGATCCCTGCATTGCAGGGGGTTGGACTAGATGGCCCTTCGGAAGCCTTACAATTCCACAGTTTTATGATTCTAAGGCCTGCTCACTGGGCTCAGCGGTTCCAAGAATGAACACCTGCAGAGGAGTTGAGCTCCACTTGGATCAGCCCTCCAAGAACACTCACTTCTTTGAGTGTCGCTTTCAAAGGGAGCCTTGTTTTCCAATCCCTCCAGGGCCTGTGGCAGCAGCTGCTGCCCCCCCCCTCCATGCAGGATCTCAACTGAAGCGCTGCAACCATTGCAGGAGGGTCCTTCGTTGGAGGGGCTGCTTCTGAAGCTGGAGAGGCAGCGTCTGGGGGGTTCTGCATCAGAAACCTCAGCCGTAATTGAGCATTCACATTTCAGAGCAGAGATATTTGCTGCTTCTCTACACATTTTGGGGCTTCCCCTCCCCAGAGGAGGAGAAATCTCCTCTCCTCTCTTGTTTCTTAGAGGAGGAAAAAATATTGCTTTTGTTGAAAATTTACAGCTAACAGACTTTTTTTCCCCCTCCAGGAAGATGAAATGTTAGTTTTTGCTGCGTATTTTGGAAAAAAAAAAATCAATAGTGTAATGAAATAGAAATAAAATAAATCCCCTCTCTGCCTTGTCCTCAGAGAAGATGGAAAGGCACCAGGCATCGAGGGGGGAGGGAGTTAATCTGCACCCTGGGGAGCTGGTGTGTGTTTGCATAAGACGGAAGGGATTGCAATCCTTTCCCATATTCCAAAAGCACGTCTATTTTAGGGTCTCTAATTTGGGCTGAGGGAGGGGCCACGGCTGCAGATGCTGCAAAGGAGGCAGGCAGGCTCAGCGCTGGCACCAGGATGGATGGGCCCCTGGCACAGGGCATGCAAGCGCTGTCCTCCTGCCATTGATCATGCCGGCTTTGGGGCTGCGCAGCTGAATCCTAATGGAGAAGGGAGCCGGCAGGGCGATGGCAGGCAGGGGGTGAGCAGAGCCTGGGGGTGGTATCCCTTTCAGCCACGAGGGCAGCTGTCCTGGCCCTCAACTGGACCAAGAGCGACAAGAGACCAGATTTTAATTCTTGATTGGCAAAGCCAAGCCTGGCCCACCAATGAGGCAGCAGACTGAGTGTTTGTTGTACACAGGTTGTACAATGACAATAAAAGTATTATTATTATTATTATTATTATTATTATTATTATTATTATTAGCTGCTTCAGGCAGCAGGGTCCCCCAGGGCAGCAGATCCCAATGTTGATCTTTCTTTCCTCACCCCTTGTTACTGACAGAGATGTTCCCTGTGTGGTGCCAGTGTGGTGCAGTGGTTAAGAGCGATAGACTTGTAATCTGGTGAGCCGGGTTCGCTTCCCTCCACCTGCAGCTGCTGGGTGACCTTGGGCCAGTCCCACTTCTCTGAAGTCTCTCAGCCCC